TTACCTTTAAATGTACAAATGGCGGTCAATGAGAATCGTTTACGAATGGAAGAGTTACTTTTTAAAATAATCATAATAAAGGGTAATCCAAAGGAAAACAAACGCCACTGTCTGTCCTGTCCCCACCCGCCTGCATGTTTCAGAGAGTGCTGTTTTATTTCTTTTAATGCAAGGCTGGTTGTCCCAATTAAATGTGGGGTCTGTATGCCCCCCCTTTCCTCCTCATTTGGTTTTCTCCTCCGAGTACTGCATCTGCTGCTGGAGACGCTTGGCATAACTTTGAGCCATGGAGTTAATAATGGACAAGATGAAATAGCACACCATGACAATAACCAACTTTTCAAACATCCAGGAGAGCCAGTTTTCAGCCTGCAAAAAGAAAAGGGTGCACAAGAGAGAAAGAGGAGAAGTGGGGAGAGAAAAAGAGAGAGAGAAAATCAGGGTTAGGGTTAGAAGAGGGCGACTGAAAGGGTTGACTTGGGATTCATACCCTCAAGCCTTTCCACTCGAGGGCTTCTCAAGTCTTGTCTGCTTTGGGAAACCCTTCCTGTATTTGACTCGTCTGATGCAGCGCCAGCTGAAGAAATCTGGGGAAATAACCTTCAGGGCTATAATTCCAGAAGGCAGCGAATGGGAGAAGGATCCTGATATGGATCAAGGACACATCCAGTATTAAACCCACAAGAATGACCAAGCATAGCGCCTGAGCGCCCAGGAATCCGACTGCACATGATGCGTTTTCTCACGGGAAGAACCACCGAAGGTTCTTCCACAGTTTGAAGGGGGAGGACACAGAAACATCACCATGTCCTTGACGCAAGATTTATTTCTCTATTTATCTAGGAGTGGCAATGGCTCACCAGGAGTCACAAAGCTTCCCCCCCCCTTCCAGTGGATCTCTTAAAAAACAAACAAACCCCAAACTTGAAATTCTAGGGACTCAAAAGGGAAATATGGCAAGCCTGTTGAAGGATTAAGTCCCGGGAATGCCCAGTTACTGAATCCAGCTCCTCCATGAAAGTGAGGTTGGTAAACAATGGACTAGTAACTTGTGCCTGATAGCGTAAACTGAGACATGCGCTCTCTCTCTCTCTCTCTCTTACAGTCATTTCTGGGGCTTGAGAGACACAGCTTTGAAAATAATTCCTGGAGAACCAGGTCCGTTCTGCTGCAGCAGGAACAACAGAAAAATCTTGTGGCATCTTAAGGTATATAACAAATTTTTAATAGGGTGTGAAGCTTCCAAGGACTGCCAGCTCCTGAAATCCGAGGAAGTTCACTGCAGTGCCCCCCAAAAAGTCTGCTGAATAAAACAGTTTGCTCCTAAGCTGTGATAAAAACCTTTCCAGTGGGGGGGTGGGGGTGGGGGGGAAGGAGATTTCCCCAATCCTAGTAGAGCAGGAAGGGTTAACTGGGGCCAGCTGCCCCACAAGCGTGTGCACTCCCCCCCCCATGGGTCTGTTCTGGCATCCGTTCAAAGAGTTCATGCACAGGACAATTTTGAAACACACACACACACAAACGTGTGCATCGGCCGGGAAGAAGGCTTTGTGAAAGCCAAACCCTCTTAGGGAACGTTGTCTTTTCCACTGGGCAGGAGGTTGTGCAATCGCCCACTGACGCAGCAGAAAAGAAACGGCTGCGAGAACATTTTTCTGAAAGAGCAGTCTGGAAACAGGCAGAAGGCAGCATAGCAGCATACGGCTGCAGGGAGAAGCAAACTCGCTCCCTGGAGCGCTCTTCAGTCTTCAGTCCCCCAGAGATGCCGCCCACCTGTCACCGAGGGAAGGGCAGGTGAGAAAGATCACCTTTTAGGACCGCACACAGGCCATAACACGAGTGAGAAACACTCGTGAACGTGGTTAATGGCACAGTCAGGTCCTCCAGAGATCATACATACATGGAAGATATTCCAGGAGCACTTGCCCAGCATGGATTATCATCACACACACACACAAGCTTTTCATTTTGAATAAACTGGGGGGGGGAGGTAAAATTGTCCCCCCTGTACACTGTAAAAGTTTAAGAAGTTTTCTTTGGGGTACCTTTTCACGAGCAGCAGCCAGCCGGATGAAGCCAGCTGAGGTCTGTGAATTCCACAAGCCTCGGTTATTAAAGCTTTGTTATTTTTTGCTGCCGCAGACGAACCTCCTCCTTGAAATTTTAAGGCTAAGCATTCCAATTAATAAAAACAGGGAGAGAGGCAAATCTGCTACTCCAAGAGTTTGCCGGTTTCTTCCCTTTGAGCGAGCGGGGGAAGCAGGAGCCGTTTTTTTAAAAATGGGTTTAATGAAAAGGAGAAAGGGGGTTTTATAAGGAGGTCTAGGCTAGAAGGCAAGGCAGGGGGCAGGACTCACCTGGGGCGCTCCGTCCGCTCGATGGTGGAGCTTCATCCGCTGAGCTTCCAGGTATTCTTGGAAGGGCTTCTGAAGGGACGGACCCACACCTGGGACAGCGCTAGTGGCCAGGATGGTTCCCCAAAGGCATATTGAGAAAAGGAACAGATCCAGGGGTTGGGGGTGGGAGAGAGAGAGAGAGAGAGAAAGAGAATAACACAAGGGGCACAGATTAAGAGAGGGTGCAGAAGACTTACCGCCCAAATTCAAACCACGGCTATAAAAAGAGTAAAACTCAAGACACAGAATTGGACCTCACTCGGAGGAAAAACCAACACGGGGTTGACCCAGCAGGAGAAACAGCACATGCTTTTCGGCTTTTCCTGCTACTGCGGAAAATGCAAGGCAGCGCCCTCCAAAAACAGAAAAAGAAAAGATTAAAAAAAAAAAGAAACTGGGAAAAAGCAGAAAGAAATAGAAGTCATTAAAAAAAATAAGAAATAAAAATAGAAAAGAGGAGGAGGAGGAGAAGCTTCTTAGCAAGCCCAGGCAAGGGGATGCTAAGAGTAGCCACAGCTGGGAGAGGGCTCAGCCTCTATAAGGGGACTTCCTGAAAGCCCGGACTCTCAGCTGAGGTCTTGCATGCCCGGCAGTGACTTCTGAGAAGTCCCAACCATTCATCACCCGGGGTTCCTGTAAGAACTGGTTTGAACCGATTAGCAAGGAAATGACTTGGGCTCCTGTCATTTG